GGCGACGGCGAAATATCTGAACTCGAGGCTTCAAAACATCAGTCCACCAACCAATAAGAGACGTCACGTTTGACTACGTCCACCTCTTATATACAGTCTACGTGAAGGCGTTTCCTTCCCCCAAGAGGGGGCGGGGCCTTTGGCGATGACGCGATGCTGGTCTGACGTGCTCTAACAGAAGCGTGTGCTCGCACGTCTTTGATTGGCCGACACAGTGCGTGACTGGGTGTCGTCGAGCCTATTTAAACGTATTTGTAGGACAAATTTGTTTGTTTTTTTCTGTGCATCGACTTTTCTGCATCAATGAAAAATGAGAAATAAAATTTTCAGTCACATATATTATTTGACACTGAAATTTATTAAAATGTGTCCTATAATTTTATAAATCTCTTAAAAACGACTTAAAAACAAAAATCATATTTTTATAACATTTCTAATCAATTTAAAGTGGCAGGAAGAATAAACAGTGGAACCACCAGACTTCATTACAAAAGATTATTATTATGCTGAGTCGCTGTTGATTCTCAGCGGGTTTTGCAGTCTAACATATAAATATCACTTATTGGAGTTATTCCCTTTGCCAACAAATCTGCTCATAACTAGTTAATCCAAAACTTCACTGCGACATGAAAGCAGTTTCTCTGAGGGTCAAGCTCAGACTCCGGTACCAACATACAGACACCGAGGACATAAACAGTTTAAAACTATGTCACCAGGAGAATATAAGCAATGCATTTGCAAAAACAAAAGCTTTTCACACAGTGTGATTAAACACAGCTTCTACAAGTTTAGAACTTTATACATCTGCATGTGTTGGACCTATTGGATATTTACACGTCGAAGACAGCGATGGTGAGGAGGAGGAGGAGGAGCAGAGCCGGTGTTAAACTGGTCATCAGGGCGACGTGGCTGCCGCTCGACATCATGTCGTAGTCATAATAGTCATCTTGTCTGCACGAGCTGCAGTCGCCGCCGCAGAAGTAGCAAGAGGACATGTCTCCTCGCCACTCTGATTCATACGTCCTCATCGTCATGCGTCCTGAGAGAGACGGTGTAAAGATCAGAGGTCAGGTTCAACATGAGTCCTAGCTCACGTTCTTGGTCTAGTAGATTTGAATGTCCTTTAGTTGTTTCTGTAATTAAAAGTGTCAAATTTCAGCATTTCAACAGTCTTTTAACCTTCTGAACCCCAAAACCCGGTTTTAAAAAGCATGTTTTCTTTTTTATCCTGGCCAGAAGCCATCAAACCGTCACTATTCACCTTTCCGACCTTTACCTGAACACATCATGTGTGACGAACGCTTCCGTCGGAAAAAGCAACCAAATAGAAAGTTTAAAATTGTGATATTTCATCAAAAACATTTTATTCTACAAGTCTCATTTAAAATGTCGCCACAAATAAAACCGTCTCCTTGAACCAGATCCTGTAAAAAACATTGAATTCTGAGCTCCTCAGTGCAAATAAGAAGCCATCAGTTGATTCATCTGAGACCAAAAGTCACGTGACACAAATTCCGTCATTCACCTATTTATACACTGATGATTCCTGTCACCTGATGATAAGAGAAATAAAATGCTGTATGAGAATTAAAAGCACTTATTACACGTGGGATGGATGATTACTTAAACCTGTCACACTTTAGAAAGAGTTAGCAATAGTTTACATGAAAAGGGTATTAAAGGTATGAATGAAGGTGAGTGTGTAACTCCTTACTTGGCTCATAATAATCATAGATGACAACAATCGCCTGCTGGACTTTGCCGACTTTATACTCCAGGACCAGAGGAATCAGAAGACAAGTCTCCTCCGTCGTCACCTGGAAACACATTTACACTTTCAGTCTTTGACTTCAGTCGGACTGAGTGCAGCGAACCGTCCGCGATAGTGTTTCAGTGGAGCTCACAGAGGACAGGTACAGGATGACTTTCCCCGGCTTCGTCTCCACTTTCTTTACGACGCCGTCGGTCGGGATGCCGTCCGGCGGCAGGCTGAAGCCGCTCAGCAGACCCACCTCCACGATGACCATGCCGGTGGCGTTCAGACCCAGAGCCTTCGACAGACTGCAGGACGACGTGAAGACGTTAGTAAAGTACGTTTCAAGTCCTCAAATGATTTATAAAAGACTGTTTACTTATATATTTCTACATATATATATATATATACAAATATACCAGCAGCTTCATTGAACAGATTAAAGAATAAATATATTATAAAACAAGGTATTTGAAGTACATTTTTCCATATTAGCATTTGAAAAGTGAACGGATATTTGACATTTTTTATTTAATATTTCAGTTTTCTTTCTGTGTAATCTTTCTGTCAGATTCACATCTGGTGTTTTTCTTGTATTGTTTAATTGATTTTGACTTCACTGATTATGTTTAATTGTTTGTAAACAGACATCACGTGCTGATCTGTTCGGTTGCATCACACTCACACATGACATCACGTTACCTGCTGCAGATACGCAGATGTGCCCAGTTCATCTCTTTGTCATACAGCTCGACGTACAGATCAAACGCCTCGTGTTCGCCAGCGTATCGCCTCCTCCTCGTCGGCTCCTCGTCCCTGACGTTGTAAAACACGTTCAGCTGAGACAGAAGAAGAGACGCGTTTACAGGAGGACACCCAGAAGGTCAAACTTCCATCGGAATGAACAGGTATCTAATTCTCTTTACACATCCGGGGTTGCGACTTTCTCCCACCACAGTCCTCAAGCTGCTGACCAGCAGGAGGCGCTGTTGAGTGATATCGTCATATCGTATAGTTTGAACCTGTGTGTCGTGATACCTGAAGCAGAGCGAGTCCTCGGCCTTCTGCAGACACCTGCAGGCTCAGCTCGTCTGGATCGATCTGAACAACAGAACAACACATCACGTTATCCTCTGCACGTACGGACCTCTCAGCTTCTGTCTCTGTGAGTCAGCCCTGAGTGTCGTGTGTTACCTGCTGGGTCTGGTGGACCAGGTGGTTGTCCCGGCTGATGTAGAAGGAGGCCACGGCGGTGGAGGCGACGGCGTTCACCGTGATCTTGAGGTCGGTGTTCTGAGGCATGAGCGCTGCGAACTGGGACAAGGCCTGCAGAGCCACCACCGTATCCTGAGAGAGGAAACACACACGAGTCAGGAGTCGCACATCTGCTCCACAACATCCTGTCGCTCTTCGGACAACGATGGGCTTTTGCTTTGATAATCACCGCCGACTTCCTGTTTACGGCGATGTTGCTTTGTGAGCGTGTTCATCTGTGCATCTGATGACAAATAAGAGTCGACAAAGCCTGAGAAAAAGCTTTATTTAACGTACTGTATTTGGAGGCACTGACACACTATTTAGATATTTCCTCTGTTTGTGTGTGTGTGTGTGCGTGTGTGTGCGTGTGTGTGCGTGCTAAAGGGGCTAACTGTCCCTTTAGTCACCACATGCCCAGACAACCACAGTCTCCTGTTGATGTGACACAAAAGGGGAATTTCTCCTTTTTTTACATGATTTTCTGGAACTTCAGAGATGAGCTTTGAACCCTTTTAACAAAGTGTTCTTATAAGTTCTGATGTTTGCATCGTGTGTTCTTGCAGACGCACATGTGAAGACTTGTTAAGCCTTAAAAGGATACGAATGGAACATTTCTTACTAATAGTTTGATTGATTGATTGATTGTGCTGCTCATTGATGTGATTTAAATGGAAGAGGAAGGAGACACTAAGTCTTTGATGAAAACACAGTACTTGTGATGTTCTGGTGTTTTCTTTCTCACCTGGGTGCTCCCGAACCCCCCCCTGTGGTTCCTCTGCTGGCTGAGCCACTTCATGAGGCCGAGGCCCTCCGTGATGTGACCCAGCTGGTGTTGAGCGAGCAGCACGTAGGACGCCATCTCCATGTCGGCAGAGCGAGGCTGCCACGATGAGGACAGGCCACCGTCTGTGGAGGACCACGTCGGGACGCCGTCTGTCCCCCCGAGGAGAGACGGAGGAGGAACAGGATTCACGTCATTCAATGTTTGTCAAAGCCTTTGTTCTTGTAATATTAAAGTATGAAAGATAAACAGTCAGACATTAAAAGAAAAGAGCATTTCAGGACTGTGACTTGTAATTTTCACCGTGTGGTATTAGTACTTTTACTGAAGTAAAAGCTCTGAATACTTCCTCCACCAAGTACATATTCATCAAATGCATCTTTCAGACCCTTTGATAGGGTTCTTGTTTCAAAACTTGTCAGCTAAAAAAAGCCAAAGTATGGAAAGCTGGAAAGACAGTCGTACTCCGTTGGAGTAGTCCAAACTTTGCAGTCATCTCACTCACACACACACACACACACACACACCACACACACACACACAAACAGTGGTCATCGCACCTCTCATCTCGGCTCGTCCAATCAGCTCGCTGAGTGCCGCGTCGGCGCTGAAGCTGCCGGACAGAGCCAGAGCGTAGCTGAGCATGGCGAGGCTGTAGTTACTGGAGACGCCGAGGGCCAGACGGGTCTCCAGGAACATCAGGGCCGCAGACACCTGGCCGCCGTACTGAGCCTGACGGACAGCAGACAAAGATCACAGCGTGAAGAAACACGACAACATGTTTGTTTTGTTTCTTTAAATCACATCTGTGTCCAGCTTTCATGTTCCTGCAGACTGCTCATGAGGATCTAACCCACCTACAGGTGCAATATATTCAGAGCAATAATTATGTACATGACAAATAAATAAATAAACTGTATGAAAGGTGCTATAGGAATAAAGTTTTACCCTGATGTCACTGTCTTGCAGCAGGGCGATGAGGACGTAGGCGGTGAGGGACACGGGGCCGTCCAGGCCTCCCAGGAGCTCGGTGTGGATGACGTCGCCGTGCTCCCCTGATCTCCCATCGGCCCCCTGCTGGGCCGCCAGCCAGACCGCCGCTCTCTGCAGCACGACGGCATCGATGGCGACAAACGGCCGCGCCTGCAGGAAACACCTCAACACGAACGCCGTGAGCCTGCGGAGACGGAGTTAGTTTTGTTTCGTCAGTGCTTTTGTTGAGGGACACTCGTGTTCCTTCTTTATCTATAAAATACTTTAAAACCACACCAGGTGCTTCCAGACGCGTCGTGGTCTCCGAAGGCACTGAAGGAGCCGTCTGCTCTCTGATAGGTCAGCTCTCGCTCATAACCTGGAGGGAGGGACACCAGAGACGAGAGGGAGGTCATCTTCTGAATTCACCACAGATATTGCTGATGAGTCAGTTGTTGAACACTGTTCTTGTGGTTGGTGTGGGTGTTATGAATGTGTGACTGTGATGTAACCGTTTACCCTTCATCATGAAGTCCACGGCTCTCTCCGTGGTCTCCTGGTCCGCCTGTCCCACGGCGCTCAGATACTGCAGAACGTAGACGTTCGGGGCAAAGTTGATCATGTTCTGTTCCCCGCAGCCGTAAGGCATCAGGATCAGGGAGTCCAGGCCGCTGATGGACGGGCCGAGGATGTCGCCTTCGTGAGCACGGAAACCAGACAAATCAAGACACGATGAGGGAGAAGAGTTAATGTTTACTGAGATGACCTCAGCGCCACGTCAATGACCAGATGTTTCACCGTCGCAGCAGACGTTCTGCAAATTGAAATAACGTTATCTCATTGGTTGAATCAAACCTCAGGGGCGGAGTCAGTGAGCCACAGTAAAACCTAGATGAGTAATAAGAGCAACTTAAGATGATTGTCGATGGGATGATCTCAGACTCATCTTCAGATCTTTGTTCTTTTTGTTTACGATACTTTATCGAGCTGCTGATGAATGGCTCCACGTTGAAGAACTACAACATTAAATCACCCTTATATGTGCGTGTTAGTAATAAAAAGTGAATATTCTGTAATACAGGGGCTGCAAGCTTTGCCCTTTTACTTTGGATACTTTGAGTCGATGTTGCTGATAATACTTCTGTACTTTTACTAAAGTAACAGGACAGTTTTATTAGACTTTAAAATGAAGTAGCCGTTTTTTATCTGATTAGAAAAGTCTGCGTGTTTGTCAAGACGCATCACTATGACATCACAATGACATCACAGATGAGTGTTGAGTCCAGTACGCTCTCCACCGATCACATGAGAAACTACAACCAGCTGCTTCTTCACGGGCTTCCTCCCCGCCGCCGACACTTCACCTTCAACACCACGACGACACCGATTCTCTCTGTTGTTACAAAACGTCTTCAGCGCTTCAACACCTGAGCGAACAGGAAACTATGAGCTCATCAGCCTGTGCTGCACATGTGTGTGTTTCACCGTGAACGTCTACACTTTGTTACACGGAGAGAAGAGAAGAACCATCGCTGTCACATCCTGGATAGAACATGAAGGAACTACCTCTGCTCATTGTAATCCATGTTGTTGAGCACACGCGTGTCCAATGTCTGACACATGCTAGAGTCCACATGTGAGCAACCAGCTTGCAGGTTTGTACTCATTATTTTGTACTGCAGCTGGTTTCATTCGATTTAAGTCACACTAAAGAAATTCTGCAGATTTTATGTGAGCCGGTCTCTGGGAACGACTGCTTCAGAGTCCTCGGCTTCATTTCGGATTTTTTACAATAATTCTTATTGTATAGTATTTCATTCACAGATTAGCAGCTTTCATTGAGTCATTATTTTTTTGGGGGGAGTGACTGTTATCAGTCAAAAATCTAAATTAAAGTCATACTATATGAATAAAATTGTCACTTTCATTAAGTACATCTTGTTATTAGTTAGAATCAAATGTCTTTTTGTTGTTCTTTGTTTGTATTTGCCAGCAGGTTGTTCATTACTTAAGGTTGTTGGACGTGTTTACGTACCGACAGCCGTCACCGAGGCTCTCGCGCTGCCCTCCACGACGTCTGCCGGGAAGGTGAACCCGACCTCTCTGGAAACACTCGACTCAGAAAGCTCAAACAGCAGCGAGGCGGAGAACGACCGCTCGAGTCCCTCGGCCTGCAGGACGCACAAACAAACAAACGTGGTGAGTCATGTTTCTGGCAAAAGGCAGAGCTGCAAAACAAGATCAGGATTTCTCTGGTTACAGTGGAGCAGCAGACGAGGGTCGTGACCAATAAACACAGTCTGACGGCCTCGACTCTCACTGCCGATGAGCAAGACGCTCACATCACTAGTTCTTTGAGTTAAAAGTAGGGGTGCAACGGATCATAAAGGGAGCAAACATAACTCTTAGAGATCCCCTATCACGCTTTTTTGCCGCCAATACCGATTGCTGATCATTGATGATCCAGATTCGCAGATCCAGATCGTTCTTTGTTTTGTTATAGCAGCTGCTCTACAAGGCTCCTGAAAATAATTTCAACCACTCTGAAGTCTGTAAACCATCAAAACTTCTAAATGATATCGTTTTACTTTGTTATAGTAAGTTATACTACAAGAACACAAGAACACACCATTCAAATGATAAGGAATACAAGATTGTGTTTTTCTACAAATGAAAAACATCTTGTCATTCGTAGATTTAGTGATGTATTATAAGCTGCTTAGAGCTTGTGTTAGGTTTAACAACTCATAATTCATCTCTAATATCTATAATAATAATAATAATAAGCTGTGAAAACATCTCCTTCAAACATCTGATATATTCTTCAAGTTTATTCACTCAAACTACATGTTACAGGATTACATCTGAACAAATCATGCTAACGTTTTAATGTTGGGCTTAAGTTATGAAATATTATTTTTCAGACTTTTCTTTAATCTTTCTGTTATTTTATAATCATTACCGCCACATTGCGTACATTTGGTTGTTTTTTTTGTATCTTATTGATAATCTATTATTGTTCATATTTGGTTCTTATTTGCACTTTTTCTGCAACTGCTGTTAATAAAGTTCTATCTTGTTCTTGTGTGACACCAGAGAGCGTTACCTTTTTAGGCTGTTATTTAATTTTTATTATTGTTTTTATTGTTATTATTATTAATGAAACAAAGTAATGTGAGATGGTACATTGTAATCGCATTACTCAAACCTCCCTGGTTCTGTGATTCTCACCTTGACGAGCACCGTCCTGCGGACCATGTCCATCCCAGCAGACGATTTGGCTTTCACCACGATGTCGATGTCTCCGAGGTTCACCGGCTTGATGGGAATGAGGACGGATTCTCCGCTCCGACTCCCCACGGGCACCGTGAGAACACCGGGCATGAAGAGCTCCTCATTGTCCGAGAGGATGAACTCAAAGGTTTCGCTCTCTACAACGATTATCGTGACCTGACAACAAAGAGCAGAAGGAGAATGCAACCCAGATTACATGAAGCAGAGGTCTGACAGTACAAAGAGGGCGGTAGGAAACAAAAGAAGCATGTTGTTGAAACCGAATATATCAAACTAAAACGCAGATTCTAGCTTTCTTGGAAGTCGTTGAACTCTTTTTAAAAGCTTTTATGTGTTGAAGGATTGAAAGTCCTCAGAGGTGACAACAGAGTTGTATAATATGTTAAAACCACTGATGCCACATTAGATTATAGCAACCTGACGCCTGAGACAACAGCACTAACCCTGTGAACCACATTCACTCCAAAAACATGCAATACAACACCTGCTGTATTCACCTGTTGGTTCACGGTGAAATATAAATCCATTAGTCAACAGATTTAAAGCGGATATGACCTGCAGTCTGACCTACAACACAGGCTGAACGACGTGAGACCTGCTGCTGTTCAGCTGTTTGAGTATTTCTTAACCAAAAAATACAAATATAGAAGTTGCTAAAGATGAACTCTGAATTGGTTATACTATAGTCAGTAAAAGAGAGCTTACAGAGTTCTTGTGAATGAAAACAATAGTGCTTTACAAGCTCACAAATAAAACCCGATGAATTGCAGCTGACTACTCGATCCACCTTCATGAAGTCTCTTGTGATGACGGCTGAGCGGTGCATTTCTATGCTGATGATACTGTGCTTTATTCATCTGCTGTTACATTTGGGAGGAGTGTTATCTATTTTGCAGACAGCGTTTGGCTCGATCCAGTGCTCACTTCTAGAACATAAACTTGTCTTAAATGGAGATCTCGCTCTATGGAGGAAATTGGCTTCAATATTTGCACTTTGGATTGTACTGAAGTGAGTGTCTTCCTGGGGAATTTATTGATGAAAACTTTTTTCTTTTTTTTCAAAAATAAGTGATTAACTCAGTAACTATAATGCTGTTTTTTTGCTCCCAACTGCAGCAACAAAGTGTATCTTTCCATCGCAACAGCAGCCGAGGCTCACGGGTATCATGTTATGTATCCATTAAACTTAGAAGATGGGGAAAACGTGATTTCTTGGAGAAGAAGCTCGTAACCAACCGTGAACCCAAACAGCCACCTTTCAAGTGTGCAGGAGGAATACGTTTCACTTAAGGCATTTCCAAACACTAACTGGCACTGTGCAGGTGGAGGAGTGCATGACACAAACTGACTCCTGAAGGATCCATGCTTAACCATTTTACATTTACAATATTGAACCCTGTGTGAGTTTCCCCTTCTTATCCAGCCCAGCTGTGTGAGGAGGAGCAGCTCACTGACCTCCAGGTGCTGTGGGAGGTAGTTGAACAGAATGATCTCCAGCAACAGCTCCTCTCCTCGGATGATGTAGGCCGGGAGGTTCAAGAACAGGAAGAAATCCTTGAACACTTTGAGCTGCAGGGGGATCACATGGAAACGTTACACAGTCTCATCTAAACACGACACATACAAAGCTAATACTAATAGAGCAGAACGATGTGTAATACAAGAAGTCAAAGGGTCACACGGTGCTCTAATTCAAAGGCGAGAAGAGTGAAATAATACTGGAACAACACAGAATTTAAATATCAAAGCAATGGATAAAAAAGACACACAATTGGATTTAGTACGGTGATTTAAGTCATTTTACAGAAGCGATGTGAATACCTCTGCAGGCTTCTCTACGAAGCCGAGGCCGAGGTTCTCAGACAGGACGAAGGCGGTGGCTGTCCAGGTCGTGATGCTGTCTGGTACAGTCAGAGTTATCTCTGTTTCTGAATTACTGCGAAAAACAGACGGACATGTTAGCTTTAGTTTCTTTGTAGTTTACTTTGAGCTGTCACCTCAGCTCTAGCCAGGTTCCATCCTTTTTACCCAAATCTAAAGTCTGAAATCATTTTTGCACCATGGTTACTCTCCAAAGCCGAAATGTACAGTTTAATCTTCCTACATCCTCTCCATCGACATACAGGAACTTTTGTCTCATGGTTAACTTTCAAAGCAAAGTGGTCTTTCAACCTCAGCTAAAACTAAAAACTAAACAGACATGTCACCAGATTGTGTTGTAGTGATTCTACAGCGGTACGTTTCTAAAGCGTTACCTTGTGTTGGTGTCCATCCATATCCAGGTCTCTGGGAAGTCCCGGCGCTCTCGTGGCTCCATATGTGAACCGTCTGTCTGGGTGATTTCATTTATTCCCTCCCCTGCTGTTTGAAGATGATTGTCAGTTGTTTCGCAACGCATAGTCAAAAAGAGGCAAGAATGTGATGAACGTAGATTGTTTTAAAACTTACGAAATGTAGGCCTAGGTGGACTTTTCATCTTGTGTAAACTGGCATCCGTCAATGCCACAAGATCACATTTCTGCACAAAGAAATGCTCATTTCACTCAAATGTTGAGCTGGAAAGCTTATTATGGGTTTGTACATTACAAGTCATTACATGTACATTTTGTCTACCATTTTGTTTTTGTACATTTTAATATGTTTCTATTTTTTCATTATGTCTTGATTATTGCATTGTGTTCATTGTTTATTGTTACGCACCATTCACCAAGTCAAATTCGACTTTAAGTGAGATAGAAGGATGATCAAGCATGATCGGATACTGCCCCTACACAGGACGTCAATACAATACATGTGATGTGTCTCTGGGGAGGCTAACCTTGAAGACGGAGTATGGATCTCCCATTGTCATCATGTCAGAGTAGGCGTCGGCCACGGCGATGCCGTTATCCTTCATCTCCTTCACCACCTGTGAAAGCAACACCAATCCTCCTCAGAGCTGCTACTGTTGCAGCTCACAAAGGGCAACACAGCAAACCGGGACGCAGAAAGAGTACTTATTGTTTGAAACCAGTTTGACCGAGCTGGGATTAAAAAAAGAGTTCACAACGAAACCGATATTGGGGGGGGGGGGGGGGGGGGGGGGGGGGAGAGGGACGGATTGGGTTTCATAGAAATACCTGTTAGGAGAAATATGGGTGGAGAAGCTTTGGGAATAACGGACACGACACTGATAAAGCAGGTTAGGAGACAATCAACAGGAAACATGTGACCCAAAGCTTCAGCATTCATCTCTTTGTCCGACGGTCAGACTGAAGTCACAGCGAGCTTCTTTACTCACGGTGTTTAGTTAGTAAAGAATTCATTTAGGTTATTTCTCAAAGTTTGGGGGATGTGAACGAGCGCTGTTTCTTACCCTCGCCTCGGTGATGTCATTGTACGATCCCTTCCACCCGGTCGCCTTGTCGACCACCAGGATGCCGACCAGAGAGGCGGGCTCCGCCACCGTGACCCTCAGCGTGACCTTCTCACCTGGTCTTCTCGTAGCGTCGCTCCAGCTCAGAGATACCTGTCAACCATGCACCATCACACCCAATCATTGACAATCACAATATTGAATTGAACAACGTAGGTTTTCCAGGTTGTTTGTGTTGACGAGTACATTATTCAGTTCATGACATAGACTGTAAATTAGAAGACCAAATTCTGATGGCATGACGTATTTTGCAATCAATTTAGTTACTACAGCTTATTTCATAAATACAACAATGTTTCTGACTCTCTGAGGGTCTCGCTCTGTCAAATTTGACTTTCTTCAAACATTTCACAAGCTTCTGATTGTCTCACGCTTCAGGAAAACCAACTAGGATGATACTTTAAAGGTAATTGGCATTAGCTCCACCACATTCATAACATACTCATAATACTCAAAATCACACTTTTTTTAATCGAGCAAAACAATTGAAAAAAAGACAATAATTCACCTTGTTTTGTAAAGTTTGGGTCATGGGAAGCTGCACCACGTCGTTGATGATCTCGCCGCTGGGATGCACACAGTAGACGATGATGCAGGCCAGAGGAGCCCAGGTGACTTCTGGGACCAGAGAGAGATCTCCTTCCATGCTTCTCCCAGCAGACACCACCTGACCTCTGGACTTCACCTTCACACACAGAAGAAGAGACCTGAGCTCTTCTTTCTTTTTATACATTTTATAATTAAAGCTGCAGTAATGTGTATTTCTTTGGCAGACAGACTCCAAAACAAGTTAACAGACATATTGTGACTTTCTAAAGTTGTATAATAACAACATTTACTGATATATCATTTGAGTTCTACACCACTAAATGTTGCACAAGAAACAGTCGAGTAAAACAGAAAAGAAATACTGAAAAATTATGATAATAATAAAAACCGTGAAAATATGGCAATAAGCCATTTTTTATCATACAAATCTGATCTAGAGAAATACAAGTTTATTCCACAGTTGCACTAAATGTAAGTTACTCTGAATAAAAGTCTCAGACAAACAAAACCAATTAAATGGAATATATTAAATGAATGAAGGTTTGAGTGTCATAATGTTAAACTCACCACATAGTGGATCTCAGTCATTGGAAAATTCCTCTCAACGTGCAGCAGGACGGGGGAACCAACCTGAAGGAAGACCGCGTTGTGATATAACACGCTTAATATCATTGAATGTACTTCCTGTTGTTACTACTTTGTCACCGGCAGCATTCCCACAATCCTACCAGATAAAACCGTGTGACACACACGTTACTCTGCTCTTCATGATTACCTCTAGAGGACTGGAAGGTTTCTGGATCTTCAGGTAGGACTGACTGGGGGATCTGTAGCTTCTATAGAGTTGGAGAGTGGCATGGCTGTCCTCAAAATAAGCCTGATAACAAAAAAACAGATCATTATTTGAAAAAAGTCTTCTCTCCTGGTGCAAGAAGGGGATACATGTTGTTGAATAAGACCTCCAGAGTGGTGAAAGACTCTACAGAGGACTTTTAAAGCAGCTGCATGGCGCACATTAACTTGACCTTAAAATGGGTTACAATAAGCAAACGATTGGGAATGAATGGGTTTTTATAAAACTGATCCCAATCAATTAGAAATCACTTTGATTGACATTAATTGGCTCTGGAAATCTGGAAACAGTGGCTTTTTGTTTCCCTTCTACGCAGATGATACACCACTTTATATTTCAATTGAACCTATCAAAAAATGAGCACTGTGTTCAAATTCCACAATAAATATTCATATGAACGTAAGCCTTAGGTTGTAATGTCCATGGTGCATTATGGCACAGACATTAATGTACTGTAATAAGGAACATTTGCAGTGAAACATCGATGAAACTGTGTCGTTGGACCGCTGCTACCAATTTAAAAATTGACGGTTTTATTTCAAGTCTGTTTTTTTATAGTCTGTTATTTCTGAATAATATAGGAGTTTAACTACAATAACGATGCAATTTGATATGAATGAAATGCTATTTATTTATACAATTGGAAACAGTTTTTCACATTAAACTGTATGTTTACCTGCAGACAACACTGTATTTTCAGCTGTGCACTGATTAAAAAAAGATTTTAGCAATTGATCTGCTGCATTAAAATCCACAATTCTTTCACTTTCTTTTTCCAGCTGAGAGTTCTTTCTCTGTTTCTGTTTTAGCATCGCATCGCTTAACAGTGACGGTCAAAATGAAAATGATTGTGTCCTTCATTCTGGCTTTACTAAGTCTTCTCTTTAGTTAGACCGAGTATACAGTCAGGATGAATGGCTGAGTTTTAATGTGAGGAACTGATCATCTTACATCGATGGTGAGTGTTTCCGTTTCGGTCATGACCCGGATGTTGAGGGGTATGCATCCGTCTGCAGGGACAGGAAACTCCGTTTCTTCAGAAAGCATCTCCTCTGGCTGAGGACTCCCAACTCCCCAAGTGACCGACATGTTAGATCGACGAGGCCAGTTTTCTCTTTCTTTAATGTCCATTTTCCAACTCCACGGACTTGTGTTTTGCTGCATCACTGACACATGAACCATCTTTCCCTGATCCTCCGGTGACAGCGGCTGATTGTTGTACGTTGATATTTTCAGCTACAAAATCAAGACAAGTCAATATGCTGATCACACCTTTTAACACTTTGTAATGAGAACTAGTTGTGTTGCTTATCGTAGTATTTGTTATTATAAAATACCAGCTTTGATAACTGTTATAAATGTTGGTTAGCAAATAGTTCATTTGACACTTTAGTACTTTTTACTTAATAAAGGAAATTATATTTAATGAGAAATAGGAATGGAAAAGTATAAAGAGTATAAAATCAAACAAATTAGATTAAAACAACAAAAAAGATTTGCTTTCCTTACCATGGCAGCAAAGTTCAGAGTCGGCCTCAATATTTTGGGGTAGCCATCAAAGGAAATTGTATATCTGTACTTTGCCATAGACACCTTTGCTGTACTGTTATATGTGAGACCTGAAACATGAAAAGCATCAGTAATACTTCTAGTGGCGGCAGTAATTAAACCACGATCTCTCCCTAAACCTAACCAAACAGCAAAAGTTTCACATAGTTAACCACGTAAAAACCACTATACGTAAACCATAATTTACTAAATGAACATCATGCTGTATTGAAGAAGACTTGAAACTAGAGATTGAGACCATAAACTCATGTTTACAATGTTTACTGAGGTAATAAATCAAGAGAGAAGTAGAGTCATTTTCTCATAGACTTCTATACAACCAGAGGAGTCGCCCCCTGGTGGACACTAGAGAGAATGCAGCTTTAAGACACTTCAACATTGGCTTCACTTGTCAGAACTGGCACCAAATTTGCCAGGGTCGGTTCTGCATGAAAGTAGTACAATTGAAATATATTTAAGCTAAAACGCACTGGAATAAACCTGTAAAATATTCACATAGTTGAATGTAAAATCTCTCTGCATTCCCAGGAACAATACAGAGCACATGACTTCATTGTCCTCGCACACTCATCAATACAGAAGTGTAAAAACTGATTACCTGTGATGTGATCAGTCACATGAACCACAATCATTAAACACTCCTCGTCCATGTATTCGTCATAATAGTCCATGTCCAGAGCTCTTCTGCTCATCTCGTGGTAGTCGTAGTTGGGAACGTTAAACATGAAGTCCGTGCTGCCGTCGATCTAAAGCAGATATTCATCCGTTAGACTTGTTAGTTGATTGATTGTTTAGTTTAAAAAGTAAAAAATATGATAAATATCTATCTCAGTTTACAAGATGTCAAGGTGATGTCATATTAATTCTTATTTTGTCCGACCAACAGACCGAAGTATTTTATTTACACTGATATTAAATGCTTTTTTTTTTGTAAATCCTTAAGTACACAATAACATTTACTTAATAAATGACTTTACTAAACTCCTCTGAAAAGACTGGATGCAATTTGGACAAAAAACAAAACTAACATTTACACTGAAAAGAGCAGGTAACATGATTATCTAACTTAAATTTAAGATAATATGGTTTATTCTGTGACTCTTAATCTCAAAATCATTTTAACACCATTATTTTTGGGGTGTAATCAGATTATAATCAGCTCTTTAAATACAACGACCCACCTCTCTACGTTCATCATAAGCCTCTTCAACACCATGGAACCTATGGAGGTACGTTACATTGATGTATCCGTGAACAAGCATCCCGTACATGTACCTGAGGATGAAAAACACAAACACGTAAATATATAAAGTATTTAAAACTGTGTTGAATAACATAACGCACAGACAAAAAGTTCTCACTTTGCCATGACGGAGAACCACAGAGGGTCTTCGTGAAAGATGACCCGCGGAGCTTCTATCACAACGTCAAACTTCGGCAGCGCTGCAACCAGACAGACACGACATATTCATGCATAGAAAAGTCAGATGAAAAAGCAATAATCATCCGACTTTAACTGTGCGAAACAAAGAGGACGTTGAGTAGAGGGAAGAGAAAGCGTACGTACTGTAATGAGCCACGGTGAAACGCTTCTCGGTTGAAACACTCTATAAAAACACACACATTTCATTTAAATAACAACATGATCTTTACTCTGGTGCCACCTCCAGTACAAACCTTTTTACACACTATTGTGTTTTGTTTTTATAGTGTGTGGTGCGCATTAAAGCCTCTGTGTCTGTAGACTTTTAGTCCTTTTAAATTGCACCTATTTGGTGAGATGGAGCAGACTTACGCCGACTGTAGTGACGATGGTCCATTCACCCAGAGGAGGGTATTCAGACAGCTCATACTCTTTGGACACAACCCCGAGGACGCCGTCCAGAGACAGCCACTGTCTGAGCCGGTTCCCCCTGGGATCCTGGATCAGGTACAACGTGTATACAAAGAGATGAAATGATGCTGCAGTCAGGAAACCAACACAAAGGCCAACACATGTTTTTCATTATGTCAGCGTTTTGTGTAGGAAGATAATAATCCTGCTGATTAACAGTAGCGGTCGATTAAACCAACGGAACACTGATGCTGTCCCTTTAAAGGAGCAGTTCACCCAAAACTCTGAAGTTTGCATGTGAATAATGTGACATAATCCTGTTGGCTAACAGAAGTTTTTGGATATGCTTTTGGAGAATTTGCTGTTATTTCATAGATATTTTCTGCCATTTGTGAAACTAAATAACACAGATAAATAATAGCTGAACAAAATGGCATATAATATAAAAGAAATAAGATAAATTGACAGTGATTTTGATGCTAGAATGATGATTTCACACGTTTGTTTGTGTTGATAAATGTCCGTAGTGTAAAGCCCATGCTGCTACATGGATTCATGAGGAGATAACGACAACAGTTTCCTTTTTAGGGTGAACTGTTCCTTTAAATTCATAATTGTACGGCAGTCAGACTGGTGTAAGTTGCATTAAAACAAGTGGACAGTGGATTCAGACTCACCCTGATGGTGACGTTCACCGGGCTGGTGAAGGGCTTCCCGTCGGGGAGGATGGAGACCACTCTGATCCTCACCTTCTGCCCGGGTCGATAGGTCATTTTGTCCGTCTGAATGAAGGTGGAGTGGCCTTTGGGGTCGAAGTGTAGCTGCGTCGAGTTGGAGAAAACCTCCACGCTGCCTACGTGACCTTTCACCTCCAGGTTGTAAGGGTACATGTAGCTGGACTCGCTCTCGTGGATCTGCAGCACAGTTAGGTTTAACTCGACCAGCGTCTTTAATCTCTGAAAAATGTTTGTAATTCTTAAAATCTAAAATAGTCTGTGTCATTAAATATCTTTGGTACAACTAACTTTTGCGGCTTAATGAAGCTGCCCTTTGCTATGCTAAATGCTAAAATGATCAGCATGCTACCATGCTGATGTTCAGCAGGTGCAATGTTCTGAACATGGTCAACATTATGCTAACAAGCTAAACTAAGGTGATGAACATGATGTTTTTTAAATCTTAGTTTAGCTTGTCAGCATGCTAACATGCTGATGTTGAGCAGGTGTAATGTTGACCATGTTCACCAACGTATCCTAGCTTGTTAGCATGCTAACATTTGCTAATTAGCAGTGAACACAAAGTACAGCTGAGGCTGATGGGAATATATTTAGTTTTGTAGGTATTTGGTCCTCAACCAAACTATTGGACAAAAGTGAAACTCTGATCGTGATGGTGGCGCTAGAAGGTCAGAGGATCAGGAAAGTTACTGAGGTTCATTCTCTGGGGATCATCAACGTCTTTACAAAATAACAAGGCAATCCATCCAACAGTTGTTGAGATGTATTACTCTGACCCTCTATAGACTGAACAACACTGCACCACCACAGCAAGGATAACAACTTAGAATAAAGTCATACTTACAGCTGGTAAAATCAGCAGCTCGGTTGAACCTTTAACAAAAACAAAGTAGTTGAATTACTCTGCAAAGTGATTTAAATCAGAAGTCTTTTGTTGATTATACACAAAAGGCTTTACCTGCTTTCACTGTAGCAGAGTTTGAGGCCACGTTCTGTTCGCCATGAACGATGTGAGCGGACACGGTGACCGGGGAGCCGGCGAGGATGGTGACGGTCACTGATGTTGGGACTCCTGGACGGAGGGTTCTGGGGACCAGCAGCAGGTAGGAGGGCTGAGGGTCGGGGCTGAGAAACCAAACCGTTCAGGTTCAATACACAGACACACTGAGGGTCCTGAGGGAAACATGGTGGTGGGCATGGACTGTTTTAAAAGGGATACTCTGTGGATTATCAAGGAAGCTACGGAAGGTCATTCACGACATTGTGATGGAAAAAAAGAAAATCCTGGAAGTTAAAATAATTAGTGTCTCAAAATAATTACAAACTTTGTCACAATGATGACCAAGTCTCAACATAAAATAAACTTTCTCAGCATAATAACAGTACCTGAAAATAATGACTTAGTATCTCTAAATAATGAAAAATGTGTGTTCACCTGTGTGTCTTTATCTGTGAGTGTGTTTACCTGTGTGTCTGTGTGCTTACCTGTGTGTGTTTACATGTGTGTGTTTACCTGTGTGTGTGTGTGAGTGTGTTTACCTGTCTGTGTTTACCTGTGTGTGTGTGTGTGTTTACCTGTGTGTGTGTGTGTGTGTTTACCTGTGTGTGTGTTTAATCTGTGAGTGTGTTTACCTGTGTGTGTGTGTGTGTGTTTACCTGTGAGTGTGTTTACCTGTGTGTGTGTGTGTGTGTTTACCTGTGTGTGTGTGTGTGTGTTTACCTGTGTGTGTGTTTAATCTGTGAGTGTGTTTACCTGTGTGTGTGTGTGTGTGTTTACCTGTGAGTGTGTTTACCTGTGTGTGTGTGTGTGTTTACCTGTGTGTGTGTGTGTGTGTGTTTACCTGTGTGTGTGTGTGTTTACCTGTGTGTGTTTACCTGTGTGTGTCTGTGTGCTTACCTGTTCGTGGTGCTCTGGGCGGTGGTGAGGACGATGAGGCCGAAGAAACCCCACACCTGGAGACGCTCCATTTGCAACGAATGAAGCTCACTCCACTCGGGCTTCAGTCAGTGCTGGGAGCCGGTGATGTCAGGGGACGCCGCCTTCATACCTGCAGACAGTGACCCCCCCCTCCTCCTCATACTCTCCTTATAGAGTATCACCTGATGAACTGAACTAGAGTCAGTTTACCTGAATCCCCCGGGGGTGGGCTGCGTTTAGGAGCTGAGTGGGTGTTTCCACTCTGAGGACGAGCCTCGTGAAAAGTAGGTGGGCTCCCGAGGGCCTCCGAAACCCCCAAGGGCCCAAAGTCTCAGTGTCAGTTTGACTTTGAGTCAAACAAAGAGGCAAGAGTTCCTGTGAGAACTGTTCAGAGTGGCTAACAATGGATCACATCCTGTTGTATTGTTGTTTTTTTAGCAATAGCAACCATTAGATGATGTTCCCCAGAGGATGAACCCCACTGACTTTACCTCTAGCTCAACCATGAGGTTGACATTTTTGTGTTTTTTAAGTGAAATATCTCAACACCTGTTGGATGGATTGCCGTGAAATTAAGATACACACATTCATCTCCACCTCAGGATGAATTGTAATAACTCCCATGATCCCTTGACCTTTTTCTGTATTACTGTATTAGGGAGAAAACATGTTTTTTCTGTAATTTTGGGTAAACTGATCCTTTAACATCTGGCCTAAAAGATCATATTAGTGTTGTGTTTTATTATATGTTATGTCATTTTAAACCATGTTAACTTTGAGTTATTGTCTAGCATTTTCAAAGCACATCCTCAGTCCATTTTCATGGAAATAAAATAAGAATGGTCCCCTTTATTAAATAAAGATTTAATAATCAATTTTAAATATCCACTGTGATTCAGTTTTTATTTATTTTCAGAAAAAGTGTCATTATTTCAACAGCAGATGGTGATAACTGACAGTAAATTACCAGTGAGGTCAAACTGGAATGAAAATGCAGAATATTTACTCACTTTTTCTTTTATTTAGTCCACCTACCGTGTCATAAATGTGGAGGACAAAATAATAGAAACACCTGTCTGTCCCATAAAGTTGAATGAAGCCTCTAAAAACAGTTTTAAAACAAAATAAACATTTATTACAGAGCTGTTTTATCAGACTTTATTAGTTATAAACTGGTAACTGAGTGTATTTGTGGCCGTTATTATTGTATAATTGTACCACTACCTCCAGTCCGCCAGGGGGCGCTGCTTTTCTTTTCTTTTAAAGTGAGCCGACGTCTCTCTTCCTCCGTGAGGTGAAAGGACACAGAGCAGCGAGCTAACATGACAACATTAAGACCGTTTACCTGCGATGATTTATTTAAATTCAACAATATGTGAGTGAGGTTTTGTCTGTTTTTATCGTATAGATTATGTTTACTATCCAGTTGGTGCAAACAATTAGTTTGCACATCCTGTGTTTGGTGTACATCCGCTTTAGCAGGCTAACCGAAATTAGCAGAGAATGTTGTGCCAAACTCTCTTTAAAAATAGAGATAATTTAGTAGTTCCGTTGTTATTAACACCATGCTACTTAATCAATGCTCGACTGAAACATCATGTGACTCGTTAGTGTCCTCTGGACTAATCGGCACACATTTAATCAGACAACTAACTGTCCTTTAGTAAAATATATAATGTGTTTTTGTTTAGCTAGCTAATGCTAGTTAGCTAACCTAGCTAGGATGTGAGGGACAAAATGCCACTTAAATCATGATGTTTGGTCCGTCACGGGTATTACGTACGATGTGGAGGAGGAGGAGGAGGAGGAGGAGAGATATGACATATGACATATGAGAGGAGGATGAAGAAGAAGAGGAAAAGGAGGAGGGAGGAGTGGGAAGAGGAGGATGAAAAAGAGGAGAGGACGGGAGTAGGAGGGAGGAAGAGGAGAGATGGGAGAGGAGGAGAGGAGAGCATTGACTTCAAACAGATAAATAACAGATCACGTTAAAGGTTTGTTTGTGTTTTATTCAACAGTAACTTGGACCCTCTGACAGAAACCGTATCCTTCACTTTGAGATGAACGTTAGCTCATCGTTGTCATGTCTTAGAACTACAAACTCATTAATATGTAGCAGTCGTCTGTAGTTTCCTTTGACCGTTGACCTCCAGTATGGGATCCCGTTCTACCTGCAGTACCTGGCTCACTGGCCCGAGTACTTCATCGTGGCCGAGGCTCCTGGTGGTGAACTGATGGGCTACAGTAAGTTGATGCTCCGTTTGATGTTTTCATCTCAGTGAAGCTGCTGCACCAATAAATCATTTTATTTTGGTGCACATTAATCTGAAGTCTTCGTCTGTATACATGTTGTTGCTCTCTTTTTATTTTGATATATTAAATTTGAAATAGGCATATTGTTCATGACAATCAATAATGTCACATTCTCTGTAACACTTGCAGTCATGGGGAAGGCGGAGGGATCCGTGGCTCGGGAGGAGTGGCACGGTCACGTCACCGCTCTGTCCGTGGCCCCGGAGTTCAGGAGGCTCGGCCTCGCTGCCAAACTCATGGAGATGCTGGAGGAGATCTCAGAGAGGTTAGTACGCGACGTCGTACCCACAAGTACACAACATCACACCCGGAAGTACGCGACGTTGCACCCGGAAGTACGCAACGTCGTACCCAGAAGTACGCACTACTACTTTAGTCCACAGGGACCGAAAGAATCATCACATTAACGTTCCTCTTAACTTTAAATTATGCAGAAGCTGCATATATAGGTACCTTGTTGTGATGCTTTTACTCTGAAAATCACCTGGTCCTCTCCTCATCCCGGTGTCTTGTAGGAAGGGCGGGTTCTTCGTGGATCTCTTCGTGCGTGTCTCCAACCAGGTGGCGGTGAACATGTACAAACGTCTGGGCTACAGTGTGTACAGGACGGTGATCGAGTATTACTCGGCCAGCAACGGAGAGCCCGACGAAGACGCTTACGGTGAGACGACGCATTGTAGACATTTCAAATCAGATTTCAGCATCATTTCCTGCTTGATTTAGTCAGAATACTGAACTTTATTCTTTTCTTTAAATGTGAGAGGTAAAATAGTTTTGATAGAAAGTCCTCCACTGTGGTGCGTTGAGGTGCTTTGAGTTGTGTGCAGAGAAACCCAGAAGCTGTGTTGCATTCAAGAACTGTTGAAACTGAAGCTCAGAGGAGCTGAAACAAATCAAGATTATATTAACGTCGTCATCTTCTTGCTTTGAAGAAGCTGTAGGTCTGAAGACTCTTATGACACTAAAACAAGAGGTTGGCATTATTGGCATGTAAAAAATAATTAAAGGGCAGGTTGATGTGGACAGAAAGCAAAAACAGTTGTATTTTCACATTTAGCTGGATTTAAGTAAATGAAAACAGTCTTAAGCACCGTAAATGGCAAATTGTCACCTTTTTAAAGGGTCAGTTCACCAAACTTATAAAACGTTTTGTCACTTGTAGTGGCATTAATCCTTGCAGATGGTTTGGTTTTATTTGCAGGTTACACCAGCGTGTTCTTCTAGGTTTCTCTGGATCATCTTCATTAAAACTAACACTGAAGAAACAGAATTCTGTGAACGACATCGTTATTTTAAAAGCTTTGAGCAAAGAGAATTATATTCACCTCCTTTAGAATTTAAAGTTTCAGAAGAAATATCTCAAATCTGCATGGATAAATACCACCAGATCTTAATGTATTCTGATGAACTGACCCTTGAATGATTTTAAATTAGCACAGATTACCAGTATTCTAATGTATTTATAACAGCTAACAGAAGAGGGCGCTGTTCCTCCACAACACATCAAATAAAGTCGACTGTTTGTCTCCTTGTTGCAGACATGAGGAAAGCTCTGTCCAGAGACTCGGAGCAGAAGTCCATCGTCCCTCTGCCTCATCCTGTCAGACCAGAGGACATCGAATAACAGCAGACTGTGGCTCTCTGCAGCCTCATATATTAATATTATATATATATAGATAACATTACAGGCACATTGTACATAGTCAAACTGTCAGAGAGCCACGCTGTACAAATATCATCTTTTCATTTCATGTAAATTCTGTTTTCTTAAGAAAAGAAACCACAACGAGTGAGTTTGAATAGATGTTTGTATAATGCAGAAGAACACGTCGTACAATAAAGACTGATCACCAGCTGCTGGTTGTTTTTGTTAAAAAGAACAAAAACAGATTGGTAGAAAAATGAATCCCGAGCGTGTGAGCGGAGATCTACTCTTTATCTTCTTCTCCGCTCTTCCGCTCCTCTTTCTTCCCTCCATCATCATCACTGTCACTGCTGCTGCTATCGTCTCCATCGTCGTCCTTTGTCTTCTTCTCCTCCTCCTCCTCTTCTGTTTCATTCTCAGCGTTTCTTCTTGAGTCGTTCTCAGGAGGAGCTGCCGGTTTGTCTGAGGGCGACGTCTCTTCGGCCGCCTCGGGAGATTTCTCTGGACTTTTCTCGCCTTCATCGTCGTCGTCCACCATCTGCTGCCTCTTCCACATCTTTGCCATGGCCAGCAGTTTGAGGTTGGGCTGGTTGGCGGCGTCCTCTGGGAAGATGTAGTCGTAGTACTCCTCCCAGCCGGCGTCCGACTGAAAGAACCACGACAAGAGACCGAGGTTAACGCCTGAGATCGATTCATTTAAAGTGCAAAAACGTCTTTAATCCAACTCGCAGTCCAAAGATATTCAGTTGATGATGCAAAGCAGTAAATCCTGAGTTAAGTTATTTCATTAATAACTTAAAATATAAATTGATTATCAGGCTTGTGCTCAGTTTGATATTTTCACCCAATAAAGTATAGAACAGAATATAGTCCGATTCTTACCCCGTCCTCGGCCGTCAGCTTCCTCCTCTTCTTCACCTTGTCAGGCATCAGCTCCCTCACTCTGTCCATCGAGCTCTCGGAGCCGAACTCCCTCTCAAAGTCCCTCCAGGACTCCAGCAGCATCAGACGCTCCTCCTTCTCCTCGCAGCTCCTCATGCCCTTGTTGGCCTCCTCGAAGATCTGCCGGCTCTTCTGCAGCCGGTCGGGGCCGTTGATGGACAGCTCGTACTTAGCGTAGCTGATCCAGACCTGAGGAAGAGGAGGAAGGTAAGAGGTCAGGGTTCATCGTCTCACAGTGAACGCTCAGTTGGTTGATTAAGAAAATAAGAATCAGGCGGCAACGTCTAGTTCTTTCAAAGCTTCATGTGTTAAAGCTGCATTCTCTCTAGTGTCCACCAGGGGCGACTCCTCTGGTTGTATAGAAGTCTATGAGAAAATGACTACTTCTCTCTTGATTTATTACCTCAGTAAACATTGTAAACATGAGTTTATGGTCTCAATCTCTAGTTTCAAGTCTTCAATACAGCATGATGTTCATTTAGTACATTATGGTCCATTTAGAGTCAGACCATAAAGCAGGGGATGCTTTAGGGCGGGGCTACCCATTGACAGGTCTCTGGTCTCACCTTGACGTGCTGGGTGCGCTGCAGCAGCCTTTTGTAAAGGTTCCTGGTGTTTTCAAACTCCTCCTGCTCGATCTCAAAGTCAATGTAGGACTTCCACAGCACCTGGAAACACACACACAAGTTGAATATTAATGGTAATATTTGAGATTTCTTTAGTCCATATCCCTTAAAACAAACACTAAAACGTTACCTCCGGCATGTCCAGCCGCGGCTGTCCGATGGCGAGTTCAAAGATGGCGCGCGCCCTCTCCCCGTCTCCCAGGATGGTCTCCAGCTCGGAGAACTTGATCCAGGTGGTGCAGTTCTCCGGACTGAACTCCAGGTATTTCTCGTACAGCTTCCTGCAGCGGTCGAACTCTCGCAGCTGCAGCTCCAGCTCGATGTAGCCCTTCAGCAGCTTGTTCTTCGGGCATTTACCGATCGCTGTGCCCTGAGGAAGAGAAACCACGAAGCCTTTTAGTATTCAAAGAGACACTATTAATGCTCGACTTGATAATGCATCTTCACCAGATGTTTTATGTTCACATGAACTCTGCACAATCTTTAGAGAATCAGGTTTGAACCATAGACTGTATATAAGAAGTGGACTCGTGGTTTGTGGACTGATGTTTTTAAGCCTGGACTTTGGCGATTTTGCCGTCGCCATTTTGTTTTTTTTTTAAAAATCAACCAGTGAACAGGAAGTCACCATATATGGACTGAGGAGTGATGTAGAGACACCGTATACGTCTCTGGTAGAGACCTGTCAATCCCCGTGTAGCCCCGCCCTAAAGCATCCCCTGCTTTATGGTCTGTTTGACTCTAAATGGACCATAATGTACTAAATGAACATCATGCTGTATTGAAGAAGACTTGAAACTAGAGATTGAGACCATAAACTCATGTTTACAATGTTTACTGAGGTAATAAATCAAGAGAGAAGTAGAGTCATTTTCTCATAGACTTCTACACAACCAGAGGAGTCGCCCCCTGGTGGACACTAGAGAGAATGCAGCTTTAAGACTTTATTGCTGTGTTTGTTTAAGTCACCCTTATTCTTCACCCTCGGATGTCTGGTTTTCTTACGGTTTCTCCTGCTCGCTGTGAATTCTCCGGACGATGAGCGTCTATTCACAGACGGGCTCAACCGGACATTACACAGACTTTAGTACTCGGGAGCCGACCGGATAAAGTCTGTCTAATGCCCGATGTAATACGTTCAGGGTTGTAGTGAATGTGCGGCTTTAGAGTTAAAAACTGTGGAAGGCTGTTCATGTCGTTTGGTATTTATTGTGGCATCTCTTGAAAAATCTATTTGAATATGAATGAAACACTAATGGTCAAATAAAGGCAAATGTATCAGCATTCATCAGAACACATTACCCTCTAATGAAACCTACTCTTTGACTAAATGTTGATCTAAACGACAGGAATATCTTCTAGAAAGTCTCACCATGACCCGTCTGGCTCCCTGAAGGTTCTTCTGCCGGATCTCAAACTGAGCGTAGAGCAGCCAGATCTTAGCGAACGTGAACTGAAAACACAAGATGATCACAATATTTACACTTTAACGGACTTCATTATGAGACAAACAAGAGAATCAGAGAGAAAGCTCAAATCTGAATTACCTTTTTATGTGGGATGAGGTCCAGAGAGGCCTGGTACACCTGCCTGGTTTTCTCTGGATCCTGAATAAATAAAAGAATGTTATAGAGATAATTAGCACAGCTTATTGTTAGTTTAGCATTGATATGACATTGTAATTTATTGGAGTTAATTAGTTTCTGAGGAAACTTTTATTCAGTAACACTTTTAATTAATTTGTATTGAAGAGCAGCAGCTGTTTGGAACAACCTACAATCAATATCTACTTCATCGTTATTAAACAAACATATTAAAAGGACTGTAATTACATTTTTGTATTACAGCTTAGTCTTGAAATTTTGATGAATTATGCAATTTTTGTTTCCTCATCTTTTTACCCATGAACAATTTTTTCAAGTACGACTATGTTTATCTAAAAATGGGAGGTATTTTTATACGTCATCTCCCGCGCAATTTTAAAAAACTAAGACTTTTTACTGTGTTTTTATTTTCGTGTTTATGTGCAAATAAATAAATATTTAATCTCTTTTTTATTTGACTTTTCCAACTCATTTACAGGATTCCTTCCTCCTCGGTCTCTTGAAGTGACGGGTGAGGATGAGGAGCAGCGAGCGAACCCACCTTGACCTCCAGCTCTTCGTACAGAGCGTAGTTGATCCACAGGTAGATGTATCTCTTCCAGTGTCTCTTCTCCTGGATGGGGGGGATGTTGGCGATGGCCCTCTCGTAAACCTCCCGGACCGTGTCGGGGTCGGCGTCGTTCTCCACCAGGCGGAGGTAATCGAACCACGCGTCATAGTTGTGAGGGTTCGCCTGACGGGGGAAACGTCAGTGGTGAGGACAGGAAGTAACCTCTTTTCCATGAACAGGAAGTAACCTCTTTTCCGTGAACAGGAAGTAACCTCTTTT